ACATGATACCATATTTGCAGACATGCGTACGCATCTCACGGGACATGATACCGTTTCACAGACTCGCTAGTGATGGAGAATATTTCTAACTTGGAACAGGCCAGGTTTATGCCATGGCTCCTCCCACAGCACTGTGTGCGAGTTTGAAAAGCAGTCCGAAGGCTCTGTGGTCACTTGGAGGCTGGAAAGCCTGGAAGAGGGCTCATCCCTGTGGCCCCTTCCCTGGCCCCCTGCTGAGTCAGGAAACCCCTAGGAGACTGTGAGGAGCTGCTCCGGGGGAGGTGAATGCCACCCAGAGGGAGCGAGTCAGTCCTGCCAGTCAGAACCCAGAGGTGGGGTGACCATCTCCTGTGGAGTCTGGAAGAGGTCTCCAGCCCAGCACCTGATGGGGCCTCTGCACAGGGGTCCTAGGACAAGCCCAGCCCAGCAGATCCTCAGATGCATGCTGGCCTTATGCCCCAGCCCTGCTGCCCCCCGGCCTCCTGTCCCCTGGCCTTCCATACCTGCCTGGGCAGGTGAGGTTCTGCTCCAAGGTCACCGACATGGCCCAGAGCAGCATCTTGCGCCGGATGAAGCCAGACTGAGCCGCCACTGCCTGGATCTGCTCCATGAACTTCTCCCACACTCGAGGCACCCCCATGTGGGACGTGGGCTCCACCTCCCGCAGCGTGTTCACCAGGCTCCCCTGTCGAGCACCAGAGAGGAAGGCCTGCCGGCTCAGTGCCAGGAGGCCCCTCACACCAGAGTCAGGTGCACACACCCCACGGGCGTCTTGCACACGTGTCCCACGCTGTCGGCTGCCACTGGGCGGCCATCCCCACTGCTCACGTGGCCGGATGCTTCAAGCCTCCTCGGTCCCCTCCCAGCCCTGGGGGCGCCACTCTTTCCTCTCTAACCCAAACTTGACCATCCCCCTTAAGCAGTGACCAGTGTAGGAATGGACGAGGGACGATCTGTGCCAGGAGGTGCGGGTGGGGGAAGGTGTGCCAGGGGGCGTCTGGGAGAGCTCTCCTCATCTTAAAATACATTTCCAAAGAGTGGGGGGTAGTTGATGAGACTGGGAAGCAGGGCGGTGCTGTGGCCACCTGTGACCTTCCTCTGAGGACGACCTATCCTTGACGGCTTGTGGACCCCTCTCCTCTACGTACCATCGTCAGCCCCTTCTTGGCTGGTCATGTGGGCCGTGCTGACTGCGGGGGAAGAGTTCTGACCCATAAATGCACAGGGGACCCGCCCACTCGCACACTCGCACGCTCACAGGGGCACACTCGGGTGGGTGTGCGGCACACGAACTCGGACCCCCGCTCAGGCGGAGGCAGGCTGACCTTCAGGGCATCGGGCTCGGCGAAGCAGACCTGGGCCCCCCACTGGATGCCCGTCCACAAGTCGTAGATCTGAGCGGCGATGTGGCTGAGGGGCAGGTAGCTGACCACCACCTCCTGCTGGACTTCCGCGGGCTTGATGTTGCCAGCCTGGCTGCTGTACCGTGCTGTCCACGTGATCTGGAGGACAGGCACATGGGCCCCGGCAGTGTCCCCCAGCCAGCCCTGGAAGTGCTCACCCCGGGGGCTCCGGCGACCTCTTCAGGGCCTCCTCCCACCCAGGGCGTCCCTGCGGGGAATTCGCAGAACAGGCCTCCCCTCCCCATCCCCTTCGCTGGACGCGGTCTGGACCACAGACCCGAAGGCTGTCCTACGTGTCCTGACCACCCGCCCCGGGCTGAGGGGCCAGAAGAGCGTCCCAGGGGCTGCTAGGGCAGGTCCAGTGCCCAGATCCCCCTGCAGCCAAGCCCACCCATCTGGGCTCCGTCCTACATTGTCCTGACTTAGCATCACGCCCTTGGGGCTCCCGGTGGTGCCGGAGGTGTAGACCAGCACGCAGCACTGGTTTGGCTGCTGGGCGTTGATGATGGAGTCCAGGGCCTCCTCGGGCAGCTCATCCCCCAGCTGCATGAGCTCCTCCATCTGCAGCGGGTGGGTGAGCGCGGGCGCTCGTCAGCAGGGCGGCCGGACTGGCCCCCGCCCCCATGCCCCTCCACACGCACCGTGTACACACTGGCCGTCTTCTCTGGAGGCGCTTCTCCGTATATCACTACAGCCTTCAGATGGGGCAGGTCTTTCCAGGTCTGTGTTGGTGGGAAAAGTAATGGGGTTTCACTGAAAAAAGTTACCTGCTGAGAAGAGCCTCCTCACCAGCTGCTGGCCTGCCTGTCAGGCACTTTGGTCACTGGGTTTCCAGGCTCTGACCTTTGACACCTGTCCCTCTTCATGCATGGCTGTCCCCTCATGAGGAAACCAAGCGTCCCAGGGCCCGGTTGAATAAAGTATGGCTTATCCCACAACTTTGTAGAAGAGAGGGGGACAGAGAGGGGGAGGGGGACAGAGTGGGGAAGGGGACAGAGAGGGGAGGGGACAGAGCGGGGGAGGGAGAACAGAATTCAGTCTCTTGCTGAGGGGAGGTGACAGAGCATAGAGTTCAGGAAAGCCGTGATGGCTAGAGCCTGTAGGACTGGATACTAGTGAGGAGAAACTAGGAAGAGAAAGTTCTAGAACTCTCTCATCAGGTGCCCGGTGCTCCGGAGTCTTTGGCTGAGTACCAGGGTGCCCGGCAGCCACTGCACCTGGGGGACAGAGCTCACAAGGGGCCGGAACCGTCTGTGTGTCCGTCAGCCAGCTTGCAGGGGCCCCCGGAGGCGTTCAGCAGAGACCCAGAGAGGTCAGATCTGAGCACTGGCGCTAAACCTTATAAACCTGCCCCGAAAGACCAAACACAGGCCTCAAAGTTCAGAGAGAGAGAGAAAACAGGAAGGACACGGCCCGTGGGAGAATACCAAGATGCCTAACATACATGTAACTGGAATCCCAGGAAATATTTCTTTTTTTTTTTTTAAGATTTTTTATTTATTTATCTGAGAGAGAGAATGGGAGACAGAGAGCACGAGAGGGAAGAGGGCAGAGGGGGAAGCAGACTCCCTGCCAAGCAGGGAGCCCGATGCGGGACTCGATCCAGGGACTCCAGGATCATGACCTGAGCCGAAGGCAGTCGCTT